TTGAATGAATTTTTATATTTACGCAAAGATTTTCTACGGTCTCATTATCGCTATATGCAGTTAAATTGAACGCAATGGCTGCACAATGACAGTGAGTGAAAATAATGCAATAGCACTTTAACTCACTTCAAGAGAAGAACACTTTACGTTTAATTTACATGAAATTCCTCTATTTTGTTGCCTGGTTTGCCCCTTTCGATATTGTTTCGTCTCCTTCTCTCTTTCTCTCTCTCTCTCTCTCTCTCTCTCTCTCTCTCTCTCTCTCTCGGTCTCTTATACAATTACAACTTCGTAAATGGCGGCTTTTTCTCTTTGTTATTTCCCTATCAAAATGAACAAATAATTTCAACAATTTTACAAAACTGATTCAATCTGATTGACTTCGTTTGAGTCATTTTTGGTGGTATCATCTTTGGGTAACGATTGTTTTCGTTCGTTTTCCTCTTGAATGGTTGCCTCTTCTGATATTGTTACTTCGGCCACTGATACTGGTAATTTGCCATCATGCTTTGGCGTTTGTTCATGATTTACAGTTGTTGTTGATGTTAAATTTGATGTGGGCGGATTATCTGTGGTTGGACTTGGTGCTGTATGCATTATTTTTGGAATCATTGTTATCGGTTGATCGTCATCATTATTATCATCTTCGGATGGTTCTTCATCGATTGGCGTTAATTGTTCCATATGTACTGGCATTTCATTTGGTTTTGTACATCTGAAGCAAAGAGAAAATTATTTATAGTTCAGCGAATGAAACAAATAAATCCGTAATAAAGTTAAAAAATTCTTACCTTCTAAGCGCCGGTGCCAAGAAACTGGTGATTGCTGAAATAGCAAAGAATCCAGCAGCCATAAAAAATGGTATATCATAGCTTTGGGTCACATCATAAACAGCACCGGCCAATGGTGAACCAACAATAGCCGCAGCACCTCTGAACAGAATCAATAATCCGAACGCATTGGTCAATTTATCCAATCCCAATAAATCAACCAAAATGATGGAAGTCAATGAAATATAACCAGCTATACAATTAAAATTAAATTAAATATTTTAAAAGATATTTTCATTTGAAAATGTTATATTCGTAAATCATACAAGTATATCAACTTACACACTGCCAAACCAAAGAATATCGACATAATGACATAGTGTTCGTACGCTACACAGAATGGAGTTGCAGCTACCGCAACGGTCGATACTACTAAGCATATATTATTCAGCAACAGTGAATCAACTTTTGGAAAATCAGCAATATAACCGCAGAAAACACGTCCAAATGTATTTGTTATACCGATAATTGAAAGCAAAAATGATGCTGAATCTTGTGGAATTCCCTATGGAATGAAATGAAAAATAAAATTTGAATAGAAAATATTTTAAAATTGAAAAATTAACCAAAAAACTAGTAGTAGAACTAAGAGCAGAACAGTTTTTTCTTTGAAATTTTGAAATCAAAAGATATGCTTACATTCAATCTGGCTGCATCAACTAAATATACAAATGGCACATATAGACCAGCCATACCGAACACATTTGAAATACCGATTAGCATAAAAACTGGATTTTTCAATAAGCTGACATCCAACATAGTGCTTATAGCCGATTTGAATGATTCAGGTAACACTAAACATGGACAGAGATCATATTCTGTTTGGAAGAAAATGTGCATTTAATTCGTTTTTCATTTGGATAAATCACTTTTACGTACGTTCGCCCTTTTCAACTTCGCTGATTCCGTCACGTGCATCTCGAGCATCTTTCTCATATTTGGTGAGTGAAATCACTGAATTCCGATAATTTGTGAGTGATTTTTGTGATTGATATTCACGTAAATTGGTAACTGATCCCGAATAGAAAATATCTTTACGTGACAATGGACGCACCATTTTACTAGTTTCACGTGGTGTTAACGATACGCGTGATGTATACATCGATTCTGAGTCCTAGTTTTATGAACCAAAGCAATACATTTAATTTATGTAATTAGAAAAGAAAAAAATGTGGAAGGAATATGTGATGATGATCGGGTTAGTTATGTAATGAGAACGTTCTACCGTTAAAATACATGATAAACACAAATACATACAACAAATCAATGTTCAAACTTTGAAATTGACCTTTTACTAATCTACACTTTCAACAAATCTAAACCAATTTCTTCAGTTTTTTTTTAAAATCCAAACAGAGTTTCTGAAGCTTTTTTTGAAAAGTAATAATTCACACGAATGTGACCGATTCGGAAATCTGCAGATGTTTATTGTATAGCTGTGGGGTGAGCTGAGATTTTTCGACGAAATTTTTAATTTAAAATCTTAGATTCGGCTCCAGAAACTCCGAAATATCTCTATTTGATGATAAATAAGAATGAGCGTTAATCACAATTCAACCAGCATATTCCATATCTAAACTATCCTTGGATTAGTACGTTCATCGAAAAGGGAAGGAAGATTCGTTAGACTGCAACTAATTTGTATAAAACAACTATAGAAAGTTGTGTATTAATTCAAAAGAAAAAATGTCAAACAAATCATTTCTATGCTAAAGAATTCAAACTGAAAAAATGTAGTTTCGCCCATCCAATTCTAAACTAAAGATAAAATACGAAAATAAAAGCAAAGAAAACCGGAGATAGAGAGAAAAAAAATACATAAGAAGTTGAAAAATCTCACTAACGCCATCACTCGTAGACATTTGCGATTTACTGCCTGCAACAAATGAACCAATTGATGCTCTTAAATAATTCGATTTACGTACTTCACCATTGCCCATGTCATTGCGTGACGATGCTTTGATGGCGGCCAATGATGGTTTGAATCGTTCGCTGGTTGATGTTTTTCGTACGCGATCAAATGTTGGCACCGAACCATTTTTTGGTAAACCTTGATGATGTGATGTGAATGCCGGTTGGGAAGCATTTCGTGGTATATTTTTGGTGCCGAATTCAATGGGTGCATCCGATTCGGAATTGCGATGAGTGCGTGAATTACGTGCGGCTGCTCGTCGTGCATCGGTTTGACTATTCGAATCGGTATTATTTTGTGCATTACCATCTTGTACTTTTTGTCCTTCGGTAATGGTGGGCAATGTTGCAACCGGATGCAAACCACCTTGTTGTGCCAATTGATCAAGATTCAAACTTGAATGCACACCGGGATCAATGTTTATCGGCATTTTCATGCGTTTTTCCATTGAACCATCGGGTAATTGGACCATAAAATATGAACCACCAATCGATCGACGCTCCATTTGTAAGCGCTTCTCTTCATACATGCGTTGCATTAGCGGTTTCACTTTGCTCGGTTTTGGATATCTACAAAAATTATATTGCTTCGATTTTATTCATTTTAGAAACAAAAAAACTGAAATAAGATTGCCTTACGTTAATGGTCTCATAAGTGCACCGAAAATGGCACAATTTAAAATTAAGCCGGCCAAAATCAAGTTGGCATTTTTCCAATCAAAGTGCTCGAGCAGCAGGTTTGCCAGCGGTGCAAATGTAAATGTACCAAAACCTATTGAAGCGCAAACAAAAATTCAATTAAAGTTCACATAAAATTTGTTGTGCAAATTGATATTATTTTATATGGCGTATAACATTGTTACCATATTATTGTTTTTTTTTTTATCGTTTGATTTTAGTACAACGGTGGAATACTTCGATAAGTTCGAAAGTTCAAAGTTTATTTATGTTGACTGATGTTAATATGATTTAATTGCCAATGGTTTGTTGATTTGACTGAAATGTTAAAACACTGATGAGGCAGAAATGTACCAACCTGAGCCACACACAGCAATACCAGTGGCTAGTGATCTTTTTGTTTCAAAGTAGTATCCAACAGCAACAACAGCCGGCAAGTAAATCAAACCGAAACCAAAACCACCGAGAATACCATACGTTAACATCAACATATTAACTGATGTGCTGAATGTACTAAGCACAAATGCTGCCGCTGATATTATACTACCAGCAATGCAAACCGCACGACAACCATATTTGTTTGCCAGCGCCGATACCACAGGACCTAGAACATGTTTTTTTTTTTGAAAATTGCATTAGCGACTTGAGAAGAATTTCATCGCATCATTTGTGATGATGTGTACGCGACACCAATTGTGTCGACAAAAATATGGAGAATTTCATTTGCATTTACCTGCGCTCAAATAAACACCACTTAAACAGCTTCCGACCCATGCAACTTTGCCTTTACCTTCGCCGAAATATGTAACAAATTCACCCAGAAATACACCAAATGTATACGCTATACCATCAACGATCATATTACACATGAACGATGCAAATACTATGACCCAGCCATAACTAAATAAAAAGAAAAACAGGAGTTTTTACATTTTTAAAATATATGCAGGCGTTTTTTAATTAATAAATAGAAAATTTAGGATCTTTTTTCGTGATGATATCTTCCCGCATCCCTTCGTGAAAAATGTCGTGAGCGTTAAATCAGTTTAACTCAATTTATAATATTTGAAATAAAAATAAAAAAAAGTCGAAATAATGAGCTTACCCTCCGTCTGGTGGTGGTGGCATGTCATGGTATTCGCATATTTCTTCATCATCTTCTGGAGTATTTTCATCTTGAATATCAGCCGTTAATCGAGCAGCTTCTTCGCAAGCCACTTCGCTGTCAGTCTGAGTGAGATAAATTGAAAACGGATTAAACGAGGACTGTCAATTGAATGACATTTTAATGACATTAAAGCAAGTTCAATTTGAAAAATTCAAACACATGTGTGACCGCTACACTGTAGCCTCTTGTATAAAATTGTTCGGCTCAACAATGTGATAAGAGTGTCGATAAAAAAAGTCGATAATTTTTTTTCTATTCTATTATATGCTAACAGTGAACAAGATTATAAAATTATTGCCACAATTAATGGCACAAATTATTACTAACAAGTGGCATTAATGATAATTTTGGCATTTATAGTTTTTTTTATTTGTCCAAATAAAAATGGATTACAATGTCCAATTATTGGTTTCCGTACAGTCAGCTCATGTGCATAGCCGATGCATTTTCGAACATCGATCAATGGTAATTAGATTCATCCATCAATTTTCCCAGCAAAAAAAAAACAAAATTCAAGTGTTTTCCATCGTATGCCAAACAAAAATGCCAAGGAACTCTGTATTCAACTATACTCACTTCATATAGAACGTTTATACGAGGTTTTTCGATGTACTGTACATATTTATCGATAGCATCAACAAAATAATCATTTCGTCATGCAGCAATCTTATCTTTTAACAAGCTTTAAATTTTTATTGTGTGGTATTCTGATTTTATTTCACTTAAATCGATTATGTTTGCTAAAAATGTTTCTTTTTTTCTTGGTTTGAGTGATTTTAACCTTAAATTCGGGTTAAATTAAATCAAAATAAATATGAGTTGAATAACAAATGACATCAATCCAAAAAATTTATGAGAAACGCCTAAAATCGCACCAATTTTTCGTTCGCTAAATGATAACACGTGTCATTGAATAAAATGTATGACTATTATTTTTTTTCGCTCTCATTGAATCGGGTTAAAATAATTATCGGTTTGATTGAATTGTGCCAATGCATGCATCTGAACTGACAATAAAATTCACAATTTCATTTGACAATTGCGACCGCTACTGTTTTTTAAAAAAAAAAGCATCGATCGAACCAAAAACTATAATAATTTTGCTGTTAAAAGAACGATTTGAATGATATATTCATTTGTTTCAGTAATCTGACTATCACAAACGATGTAGATCCATAAAATGTCATGCGGTTTATGCAATGCATTAAAATACTAATTGCTGCCATATGACAAAATTCTCTTGAAATATATTCCGTAATTTTATCTCTTTCACACATTCAGACATATTGTCGTTATTTTATTACTTTCGTTTGAATTAAAAACTACTAATTTGCGTGTACTTATTATTATGTACTCATCATCATCGCCAACATCGTCACACTATTGACTAATTTCAATTTGTAGTTAGAGAGTGTTTGTCGCGTGTTGTGCACAGTTTGGTTTTGAATTTTTATCTAAAAACTGGTTTCTAGTCGTTCAATTTCAAAAATTGATCGAAAAAAAACAGAGAGACACAAACATATACACACTATCCGCACGCATTTTTTTCCCCCCTCATATATATTTATTTCTATTTCGAAACAATAACATGTTCAGTTTAATCGAAGTGCAATTGGGCGATCCAAATGTCTTTTTTTTTTATTTGTATATTTTGAGTGTGTGTATGTTCATTGTTCATTTTTAAATGTAGTTTCATCAAGCTCATTTATTTGCATAATATAGAATGCGGCTTTTTTATCGTAACATTTCATCGAGATGACGATATTTTTTAATTGATTTTAATTGAATACTCTCTCGGAAATCTACGATTTTCTTTCTTTCTTTCTTTATTTTTCTCTTATTTCAGAATTGCAACGCATTTTATGCAATTCGTACGACACAATTTTTATGCTGTTGCATATACTTGTTGCTTTTCAAACTTTGTTATTTGATTTTCAGTACAGGAGACCAGTTCACTTTGGTGTTAACTTTCGGGGTTGAAAATTGGGCGATGAATATTGACATTGTTTTTTTTATGAGATGTTTTATTTTTGGCGTTGGCCAGCACATCAATTGACCCGAAATGACTTTTTTTAACTGATTTAATTGATTCGATCCATAACAGACGATCGTTTATATAATATCTATTGTGTGTCAACAATCTTCGAATTGTTTGTTTTTGTCTTGAAACAATTACAATTTGTTCATTATTTTTCCTCTTTCTTCACTCGAATGACGCATTTGTAATTAGACGCATGTATGCATATAAAACAATAAAACGCCCACGCAAAGCCGCTCATATTTTTGTGATAAATCACTGAATTTCTTTGCATATCATTTTGATTGCGGAAAGTGAACCGACTAAGCATTTCCCTTCTCTTTATTATTCTCTCGGTGTCTCGAAAACAATGTGTTATCTTAAATGTAATTCGCTGTTTAAAAAAAAAAAACATAATTACCGTTGATTTTCGATTGTCTGTCATTTTGTTGTGTTTTAATTTTAATTTTTAGTTTAAATTTATTTGAAATAAAGTTTTAAATTCTCACACCACAATTTTGGCATATTCTGCAAATTCAAGCATCTCTAAAATTTTGTTTTATTTAAGAAAAATGCATTTATATTTGATGTAGAATTTAAATTAAAATCTGCATTCGAAATACTTCTTAGCTGTTTTTGAACTGCTTATAAATTGCAATCATTGAGCTTTTTTATTTATGTTATTTTTCTATTCAAAAATTGCTTGAAAAATATCTGTCTTTAATCACTTTTAACTGATTTTTATTTTTATTTTCATAAACTATTTCCGTTTACCAATGAAAAAACAAAATTCTATAAGAAGACACCGAACGTATGCGAATAGAGAGAGGTGCGCGCGCGAACTGATCGCAATCGCCACAATGAGCGTACTATTCACACCACTAGTCACCAAATAACTGAAAATGGTAAATGTTTTGTGTAATGAATTTGTAACAAGCAAATTAATAATATAACGTAGATATTCTACTTCGGTTGGGTGAGAGAATGAACAAAAAAAAAATGAAGCTGAACGCACATAGTAGAAAACAAGCAGCAGCAGCACTAGAAGAGGACGAAGAAAATGTATACATAGACACAGTGTGAAATAATATTTATGTGCATATATAGATAGATATATTTTGTAAATATATTGACGAATTAAAAATGACAACAACAAGATGTAGAATATACATACTAACTGGCATTTGAGGCGCGCACTCATGACTAAACGAACACAAGTACAAATTCCATACGCACGCCCGACGTCCATATATTCAACATTGAACTCTCTCTATCTCCCTATCTCACTCTCTTATCCTCGAATCGAGACAACAAAATGTATGTTTCGATGTTGTTTTGAGCTGACAGAGAAGCTTGAGAGTTGGTTGCGGCCAGTGTGTGCCAACAACAGTCTACTTAAACAAGCTCATCAGCCACCATATGATATATCTATTACATGGCAAAAAATTCGCTATTGTCAATGTATGTGAACTGGTATGATATCTAAGTCTTGTTTTGTTGATAAATGGCAAAATCACAATGGATGGTGCAAAAATGCAACAAGTAATACATAGGGCATATGAGTAACGATATGATCCTGGTAAAATGAAATGAAACAAGGAAAAAAAACTCATTTTGCCATCTCCTTCGAATTTATCTATATTCTATTGCTGCAAAACTCAGACAATGATTCTTTTGATTCTCTCTGTTTTGGATTTGTATGCATGACTTTTGTACTTCAGTTTTGATAACACACGAAAAAAACCGTCAGAGAAATGAATCCGCATCAACTTGAACTAGATATTGCAACCAAGATTAATCGCCGGACATTCTCAGATAGAAAGAGATAATACTCGAATGGTGCTGGCTGGTTTTTTTCTCGGCCATCAAGCTATATACATGCGAGAGAAATAAATCCATACATAGTAATTTATATGGAATTGGAAAGAAATTGAATGCAAAAGAGCATAGAAAATCCATTCAAGCTGTAAATCACGTGCCACACTAATTTCGATAGCTTCCTATATTGGTGAAACCACCACCACCACCACCACAACAACAAAATGGAAAATAAACATGTTTTATTGCTAAAGGGTACATAGATGAATATTTGCTCATACCACGACCAAACGAACGCAACTTTGGTTAAATTATTTTTGTTTTATCAATGCAATATCTATCACAAGTCCAATAATATTACCATAATAAATCATCAAAAACATATATTCAATGGAAATGGTCAAGAATTGAGAATGAAAGAGAACGAAAATAGGCATGAAAATAGGTCTGTTCAATCGAACAATATTTTCCACAGAGAATTCTGATATCCAAAAAATTGATTGACGCAAACGATTTGACCACACCACATAGAAAACAGAATAAAATGCAAGCAAGAAATATCATGTCTAATCGACAAATGTATAAATATGGGGGTTTTTCACATGATTATCACCACGTATAATGGAAACACTTTGGAAACAGATAAGAAATCATGATTATTTAAAATGCGAGTGTATTTATAAAGTACGTAATAAATATGTGTCCAACAAATTTCAACCAGTTTTGTAAATATTTGCGGCTTTAGTTTGCGAGACAATTTTTTTTTTAGAATTGATTTTTTTTTGCAATGCGATGGGAAATGCATATTTTTTTATTCCAATAAATTAAGTGTCAAAAAGAAATAAATAAATGTGCAAAATACCCATTTGAGCGATTTTTGTAACATTTTGAATTGTCGATAACCGATCTTCGGTATGATCATTTTTATTTTTTATTTTCTCTCAACTCGGAAAATTAATAGCGAATAAAAAGATCGTCCTTATATCTTTGATCGTTTCCTCAATCTCGTGAAATTGAATTGATTGTCTTATAAATCGAATTTATCTCGTTCACACATTGACAATATCAATAAACACGCGCGAGCGCGCGCTCACACACTGACACAAATTGAACGTGACAAGAAAAACAAAACGTAAAATTGATTACTTTGGATTATTGCCTCGATAATTACAATCATACAACATTCCAACATCTAAACGGTGTCAACGTAATGCGGCATTTTTCTTG